TGCAGGTGCGAGTTGCCATTGGTGTGCATTTATTGGGGAGGGAAGGAGGAAGTGGGGATGGCAGGCGGTGTAAGGGCTGTGCAGCCGTTGCTGCGTGCAGGTTTGAGGACTAGGAGCCTACACACACTTCCCGAGCCCCATCACCATACCCATCACCCAACCCCCCGGCAGACGCGCTGTTCCGGCTCATCCACACGCGCTCCTTTGGGGTGGCCACGCAGGCCTTGCTGCTCCGCGTCCGGCTCATGTCCAGCAGGAATGCGCTTTCAGACCGCTTCTACAGGTGAGCGGGATGCAGGAGCGGTTCCTGTGTTATGCAGGGAAAGCCATGGCCAGCCAGGCATTCTGCCTGGGTGTGCACATTGTGCCAGGGTTCTACAGGACCGTCATCATCAGTGCAACGGCCTGCTTTCCGTGACATCAGCCCTGCGCCCTGCCTACTCTTGGTCGCTTGCAGGGGCCTGTACTCTGTGCTGTCCAGCTCGGAGCTCACAAAGTCCAGCAAGGCGCCAATGTTCCTCAGCCTCCTGCTCAAGGTGTGTGGTCTCGGGTTGGAGGCTGGGGTGAGCTGGCTCGGCTGGGAAGGGGGGGGGGCCCCCCCCCCCCCCCCCCCCCCCCCCCCCCCCGACCGCTCCCACCCCTGCCTGCCCACCTCTCTGGAGGTCACAGGTGGGGCGACCCGGGGCGCGGAGTCGGCCACCGCGCCCACCCACCCGTCCTCCACGTCGTCCAGGCAGCGCGAGGAGGCGGAGAGCTGGCGCCGCGCCGCGCCGCTGCTGGAGGAGCTGAGCGGCGCGGCGGTCCCGCCCGCGGCGCGGTCCTGCGCGCCGACCTCGCCGTCGCCGCCCTCGCCGCCGGCCCCCGCCTGGGAGTGTGCGGGAAGCGACCCCGCGCTCGCCAGGTCGTCCGATGCGTCCTGGGTGTCCGGAGACAGTGGGCCCCTGCCGCCCGCCTCCGGCGAGGCGGGCGGCCGCTCCCGGGGGGCAGGTTGGGCTGCCGTGTCCAGGGTCGCCACCGCCCCAGAGCGCCGCTCGTCGCCGATGATCGCAGCCCCAGAGCGCCGCTCGTTGCCGGCCGCCGCCTCGCCCCGGGCCGCGCCCTCCAGCAGCACGTACCGCCCCGGGGCCTGGAACGAGGCCACCGCGGCGACGGCGCGCTGCAGCTCCTGGCGCGTGGCGGGCGGCACGAAGCCCGGCACGCGCGCGGCCACGGCCGTCAGCAGCGCGCGCAGCGAGGCCATGCTCAGCGGCCGCTCGCCCAGCGCGGCCAGCAGCACGGCGCGCACGCCGTGCCTTCCCCGCGCGGCGGCCAGCACGGCCTCGCTGGGCGCAACGGGCACGGAGCCCGGCGCCGCAGCGGGCGCGTGCGCGGGCGCGGGGCTAGGCGCGCGCCGGGAGGAAGTCGGGGCGTGGTCCGTTGCGCTCCGCGGCGCGTCGGCGGGTGGGGGCTGGGCCTGGGGCGGGGGCAGGGTGCGCGCGCGCGGCGCGGCTGCCTCGCCGCCCAGGAGCTGGCGGGCGGTGGGCACGGGCCGGGGCCCGGCGGCAGACCTAGCGCTGCCTTTCCTCATGCTAGAACCCGCGCTGCTGGGGTCCTTGGCGCCGCGGCCCCCGGCCAGCGCCACCAGTGCGCCGTCGGACGCGCCCCGCCGCAGCGCGGCCGCGCCCCTGGCCGTCACACTCCCGCGCGGCGGTTCCGCCCCATCCCCGCCCAGCTTCACCGTCCGGCGGCCGTGCAGGCGGCGCTCGGCCTCCTCGCCCCGGGCGCGGATGCGGTCCCGCTCCTCCCCCAGGTCGCGCGTGACCACCAGCTTCTGGCAGACGTGGGCGGCACAGAGCGCGGGGGAGGGGGTGTTGTCCCGGTGTGCACCTGTACTGGGAACTGTGATGACGTCGCAGAGGGACTCGGGCAGGGATTTGAAGCGGAAATCCGTGGCACCCACGCGCAGCACCTGGTGGGGTGGAGTGGGGACGTCATGAGCGCAAGGCTGTGGCGACAGGTGGAGCGGGGTGAGTTGTGGGCAGGGCCCTGGGTGCAGGCAGGAAGGGTGCGCGTCACAAATGGGGGGCTGCCATGGGGTGGCGTGAATCGTCTATAGGCCCCCCTCCTCCCAGCAGCGAAAGTCCGTGGGATGATGCTAAGATGCCTCATGTTCAGTATGGCTGGTTTATGAGCATTCCAAGCCTGCTGGGCCATGTCCCCTCACCCCCCCCCCCCCCTTTACCAATCCCACATTGGTGCTGGGTCCCATGCTGATGGTGGCGGCATCGCCCGAGTCACTGGCAGCGCGCAGGGCCGCCAGGAGGGCTGGAGTCAGCCGGATCACGCATGCTGGGGCTGTGGAGGCCTGCAAGCTGACTGACAGGCTTCGGTGCCCGCCTTGCCCAGCCATGGCTCAAGGCGTGCCCGACCGGCAGCCTTCAGGCCTGGCACATTCAATGCGTGAAGCTGACAAAGTAGGGTGTTATGAAAAGTTTATAGTGATGACGGTGGACGTCCAAAAAGCGCTTCGTGGTTGTGCCTGGCGAGCATCGATCATGTCTCGGGCAGAGGGCGCGCGGAGACGATGTGGCTGGTGCCCATCAGCGTCTTCAGCCAGAGGGTCTTACACTCTTCGCATGCCCATGACGCACTCAGGCGTATCCACGAAATCTCCCCTTGCATTACTCACAAGTATACGCTAGTGCGCAGTTTGAGTTGTAGACCAGCTGAGCAGCCGGTTGGGGTGATCACTCGGCGGGTTCCGCCATGTTCAAGGGCGGGCAGAAGAAGGACAATGCCCTGGATCTCAGCAAGCTGGTGGACAAGACTGTCCGTGTAAAGCTCGCTGGGGGACGTGAAGGTGTGCGAGGAGGTTCTGGGCGATGAGTGTCTTGATCGGTACCCTTTGGCCTGGCCTGCTAGCATGGGGTGCCATACCACCCAACATCACCGACGTTCCCACTCGCACCACAACTTGCAGTGGAAGGAGTACTCAAAGGGTTCGACCAGCTGCTGAATTTGGTGCTCGATGAATCCACTGAGTTCCTGCGAGGTCGGTGGTGCCCGGGGACACCCTGCACTGGTTGGCCGGCTGCTGCACAATGGGGGTCTGCCTGGTCCTTTCGCCGCTTGCCCCTCATCCTCGTAGCATGGTTATGCTGCAGATGCTGAAGACCCACTGCGCGTAACAGACGAGACACGGACACTGGGCCTGGTGGTGTGTCGTGGGACGAGTGTGACGCTGGTGGCGCCAACTGCCGGCACCGAGGAGATCGCCAACCCCTTCATCCAGCCAGAGGAGGAGGCATGAGCGCGTGCGCCAAGGGTTGCCATTTGGTGCTGCCCAGGGAACACGAGCATGCGCTGCAGCTGCTAGCGCACATGGAGGAGGCAGGGGGAGCGCCTCTGAACGAACTCTGCTTGCCCGGCATGTGAGCCTGCTCCATCAATTCCTGATCTCCCCATAATCTGTGCCATGGTCCTGCGCTGTCATGGTCCTCTGACTCATTGACCCTACCTGGCCAAAGCCGTGCTCGAGATTTCAAGCCCGGTGCACAGCAACGAGTGAGGGGGCGCTAGCATAATAGTAACATCTCGTCCTTGCAGCTCAGCCAGTCATCGGTCGAGTCGCCTGCTGTCGATCACCTTTATCCAGTCCAGGCCCAGGGAGTAAGGCCCCTCCTGCTGGTAGTCCCCACCGGCCAGGGCCAGACCAAAGCTGACAATGCGGGACCGGTTCATCTGCACATGCGTCTCCACCAGCCGCCCCTTGTAGGTCAGCAGGAAGCGAGCCAGCGGGATCTCCACCTCCGTCCACTCCCCTTCCCTGGAGGTGAGGGGCAGAGGCGATGGCAGGTGTACAGCAAGGCAAGTATTTGGGACCTGGGACAGCATTATTTAACATACACGAGGAGAGTCCAAAGAGAATCCAGGATGAGTGGCCAAGCATATAAATGTTGTATCCTGCCAACCTGTGGACCAACCCCACATCCCATCAGCAAATTCGTCCAAATAGCCTGGCAATTCATCGCCCCACCTGGCAAACAAGAAGGCCTGGTACACGTCATGGGAGCTGGCCTCGCCGATGATCCAGTTCTCCGTTCGAATGGATGCAATGTACCGCCGCCCATCTCCCAGCACCCGCAATACCATGGTGTCATACTGATCCAGATCCAGCCGATCCTGGGTGTCCTGTAGGGGGCAGACACTCGAAGTCAGAGGCCGGCTAGGGCAGCGGAGTGCATCTTGCGTTGAGCTGCCACACATCCTCCATCATATTCCTGGAAACAGCAATCACAATCCCGCTTACCCGGGTGTTCATGCCCACAAAGCCACTGCGTTTGAGTCGCTCATCCGCGTCGGCCCCAGTTTCACGGCTGAAGGTCCCTTGGAACACCGCAGTGCCCTGTAGATGCGAGGAACAGGGGCTGATTTGGTCGAAGTCGTTTGTAGCCTGGCCAGTGTCAGCTCCCTCTGTGCCATCCACCCTCCCATCATTATTGCATCTGTGCTCCACCCAACAATCCCTCCCAGGACCAACCCCACCCAGTCTCTCACCGGGTGAGAGGTGGATGCGATCAGGGAGGCTGTTGATCGACCACCCAGCTCTCTGTCGGAGAACGTCGCCCACCGTGCCAGGGATGCGGGGGTGGAGAAGTCGAAGAGGCGCTGCTCAAATGTGGGAATGGGCTCCCGAACTGCATGGCGCAGGGCACCAGGGGAGTCGGTACGTGCACTGTCGCCTTCTGGAAAAGAAAATACACATAGCCTCCCACGAGTCTGCAGTACAAACCTAATTCAAGAATATATCACCTCTCTCGAGGTATCGTTGCGTGCTGCGCAGAAGGCGAGCGAACGCCATCCCTTCAAGGAACCCTTCACTACAAGGGTATCAGGATGAGTACCATAAGCTAGATATATTTGATTCTAATAAAAGGTTCGAAAGGACGTGAGAGCTGCTTGCCTCGGTTGTTGTTGTCGTGGCGAGATTTGTGGCATCGTGATGTCGGGACAAAGAGCGCGCTGGCGCTCGGTTCGACTCTTCCAATCAGGCATCACAGAGCATCCTACCAACTCATGCAAAAGTCCGACTGGGCACTGTGATCCAGCATGCAAAGACTTGTGATGAAAGTATTCAAGCCGCATGAGGATGTGATGCGAGGGAATGGGATCTTTCAATTTACGAGACCTTCCTGCGACACCGACGGAGCGCGAATGAGCCATCGGAACAAGCGAGAAGGCATGTCAGCTGACCCCTTGACCGGGCCAGAAACATTCTGCGGGTGTACCGATGTGGCGACACGCCCCTGAGCGCACTCCCAATGGTGTTTGAGGGGTGGGTGGTGGACCACCTGTCCGCATGGCTGGGCCACTTCTTCGACCTCCAGCGCGATCAGCTGCGCATCAGCTTGTGGAGGGGTGAGATGGAGCTTCAAGCTTTGAATTGGGCGTACGAGCCTGCGTGCCGCCCGGCTTTGGGAATTGTCTGTTTGGGTCGGAGTTCAAGGGCCCCCTGATTTCCAACCCTGCCTTCGAGTCTCAGAGGCAGACACGATGCCAAATTGGTTGGTGCAGTCAGACTCAGTTGATCATGCCAATCCCCCTTTTCCACCCCCATGCAGCCTGGCAGACGGGCGTGACTCTGGAGAACATCCCCATCCGCTTGGATGCCCTGGAGTACCTCCAGCTGCCGTTCCGGCTCACTGCGGGGAACATAGGCCGGCTGCAGCTCCAGATCCCCTGGCAAGCGCTGCGCTCCCCCCTGATCCTGGAGGTGGCGGATGCCAGGCTGGAGGCGTGCCTCAGGGGGCCAGAGGAACTGTGGCAGGAGCCCGCCGAGGCCCGAGCCTGGGCCGGCAAGGAGGCGCGACTGGCAGGGGTGGAGGCCAGCGCCCTGGCTGGGCCGGAAGGCGCCCAAGAAAGCGCGACGGCGGTCCCTGCCCCTTCCCAGGGCTCCACGGGCCTCCTCTGGGGGGCGCTGTCCAGCCTGGCCTCCTTCCTGGTCAACCGCCTCCAGATCCGATTCACCAATGTCAGCCTGGTCCTCAGGGTGCGGGCGAGGGGCAGGGTGTCTTTGGATGCGGAAGAGCATGCAGGGGATGTCAGCTCCTGCAAGTTTTTGAGTCCCTGCTATGGAAACTACACCCACTTCCTCAGTTCACATTCTCGAAATTCCATCCCCAAAGGACCCTGGCACGGGGCTGGGGGTGGAGGTGCGCCTGCCCTCCGTGCACACATGCTCGCCGTCTGTCGCGCTGCGCATGCTGGGCGCGGCCCTGGACGAGGCACTGGGGCAGGAGGGCGACGACCCCGGCATGGTGCACAAGGACGTCGCCCTGGCGGCCGTCTCTGTCTGGCTCCTCCAGGGGGAGCCTGGCGTGGGTACGGACGCAAACGGCTGGGGGGAAGTGGGCGCCACCAGCCTCGGCATCGACCCCACACAGGCCCCCCTGGGACCCCTCCCCCTGCTGCCGCCCTGCGACGGCGTGCTGCACCTGGGCACCACCGCCGCGCTTTCCAATGGCACGTTGCGCGCCGATTGCACACTGACGCTGCCCTCCCTGCGCCTGTCGCTGAGCGACGCGACGCTGGCAGGGGTGGTGTGCCTGGCCGACGCCGCCGAGCGGGTCTCGCGCCAAAATCGGGCGGCCCTGTTCTGCCCCGCCTCCTGGCGCCTGAAGTCTGGGGGACGCGAGGGGTTTGCCAGGTGGGCGGGCTCTTTTGGTGTGTGTGGAGGGTTGAAGGCGCCCTCAGTGCTACTGACTCGACCCTCCACTGGTTGCCAATGCTGTTGTGTTCTACAGAAACTCATGCTCCCCCCTTTCTGGACGACGGACGTCCTATTCAACCACCCTCTCTGTCCACCCCTCCTCGCAGGCGCATGTGGGTCTTTGCGCTGAATGGCGTGCTGAGGAGCGACGCTCGGTGGGACGCGGGCGTGACGGCGTGGGTGCCGGCGCACAAGCGTGCAGAGCGCCGGAAGCGGTACATCCGGCTGTACCGCGCGGTCCTGGAGCGGCCGGTGCAGCCGGCTGCAGGAGTGGGCGCTGCAAAGGGAAGCGGCGGCAGCGACGACGCCGTCGAGGAGCCCTGCTGCTCCATGCTGGAGGCGGCGGAGAGGAAGCTGTGCCTGCCGGACATCACCCTCTGCCGCGCCGTGGCGGCACGCATGGCGGCCGCGTCCCTGGCCAAGGCCGCCGCAGCCGCCAAGCGCAAGAAAACGGGGCCGAAGGCCGTCCCCTCCCCCGGACAACTTCTCCTTGCAGCGGCCGGGCCTGCGTCGGATGAGAAAGGGCTGATTGGGGCTGATCTGGCGCCGGCTGGACTCAGGGGCGCCGCCATGCCCGAGGAGGGCGCCCCTCCAACAAGAGACGACACACGCACCGAGGAGGGGTTGTCTGTTCCTCCCGCTGATGCGATGACGGCTGCCAGCGCCCTGGCCACAGCCGCTGCTGGCAGCGTGCCGGAGGCCGCACTGCGCCCCGGCAACCCCGGCTCGGAGCTGCCGCGTCCGGGTGCAGAAGGCGACGGCGTTCCCGTTTCAGTGGGCACGCCAGAGCAGGTGCTCGCGCTCTCCACCCGCCCCGTGTCCCCGCACGCTGCGGCTCGCCGGGGCGTGGTCTCGCGCGGCGTGTCTGCCATGGCGGGCTTCTTCGGCGCCCTACCTCGACGAGCGGGCTATGCACAGGTGTGCTGTGACCTGGAAATTTGTGTGGTGCTCGCAGTGTGGGTGCACGTGTTGATTCGGTGCTTGCATGGTGTGTATGATCGAGTCCGTACAATGGGTTCCATCAGCACACCTTGGCCTGAGCCACCCATGCATGGCTTCATGGTGTCGCCAGGCCATGCCGACCTTGCAGCATCATCCCAATCCTCCCGATCCTTCCCTGCCCCCTGCAGCCGCCGCGCCCGGCGCCCCCCGACGAGGAGGAGGCCGCCCGCCTGCTGGCGGCCATGGAGGTCGACACCGTGGATGAATCACGCGAGGTTAGTCATCATGGGGCCGCGGGTTTGCGAGCCTCCCTGCGCCTGCGCATCCCCGCCGCCTCCCTCGCGCTGGCGGCCCGCGGCCGCAGCCTGGCGCTGCTGGAGGCCCAGGGCCTGCGGGCGGCGGCGGCCTACGACCTGGCCGGCGCCGAGCTCGCGGCCTCCCTCTCCTGCACGCGCGTGCGGCTCTTCGACTGCGGCGCCGGCGCGCCGCAGAGCCTGCTCCTCTGCGGCGCTGGTGCGGATGAGGGCGGCGCTTTTGACCCAGGACCGGCCAGAGGCGCCGCGCTGACCGTGCGCTACGTCCGTGGCCGGGCCGGCCCCGCGGCGGGTGAGGCGGCGGTGGGGCCCACCGAGGTCTGGCTGCGGCCCGGCACGCTCCTCGCGCTGGGCCGCCTGGCGCCCCCGCCGGGGCCGTTTGCCGCCGAGCGCGCGGCGGCCGACACGGCGCTGGGCTGGCGTGGCGCCGAGGCGCTGGGCCGCGCCAGGCTGGCGGGGTTGGGGCCTCCCGTGGCCTGGTCCGTCCAGCTGGCGGGGGTCGACGCCAGGCTGGCGCTCGGCGCCCGGCGGTGCCTGCTGCTCAGCGCCGGGCAGCTGGCCGCCCGGAGCACTGCTGCAGTGGTGATGGGCGAGGCAAGCGATGCGGGTGTCGACGACGCAGATTTTTTGGATCAGCAACGTGGGGTCGGTCCCTCGCATGCCACGGCCGCAAGCGTCCCGTGGCGCTGGAGCGTGCGCCGCGTGGCGCTGATCGTGCAGGAGTGGGAGGAGGGCGGGGCGGTGTTCCGCCCCACCCAGCCGCCCGTACTGCAGCCGACGACCATGCAGGGGGACCTCTGCCTGCCGCGCACCCCCAACGTGGGTAGCCGAGGGTGCTGCTTGGGAGGTTTGTTACCCGAGTCGTGGGACGGTTCTTGATGGGTACGGCTATGTTTGGACATGCCGGTGCTCAGGGGGTGCAGGTGCCCTGCCCGGGCGACCATGCCGAGTCCTTTCTCACTCCTCTTCCCAAGAAGTAAACATGGGACTGTGCCAGCCTCTGCGTGGGGCATTTCGTCTTGAAACAACAACAAGAACATGCCTCCGTTCCTTCCCTCTCCAGGTCAAGGCCCCTGCGCTGAGCATAGAGGCCCGCGGCTGGAGCTTCAGCTTGGGCACCCGCCTGCTGGCCGAGATCCAGGCGGCGTTGCAGGTGCCCACCCAGGCCAGGGCACCTCCGGTCCAGGGCATGCAGGGTGCGAGTGGCGGTGCGCTCGGCGACGCAGGCGCCGTGCCGCCGCTGGCCGCTGGCAGGGATGCCGGGTCTGAGATCGAAAGCGATAACCCCTGCCGCACGCGGCTGGTCCTCTCACTGCAGCGCGTGAGCTGCGCAGTCGCCTTTGACGCGGCGGAAGCCGGCCCGGCGCCGTTTGCCACGCGCGGCGGCGCGGGGACGCGCGCTTCAAGAGGAGGCCCGCCGCCCGCTGCGCCCGCCGCCCAATCCCCGCTGCTCTGCCTGCGCCTGGGCAGCGGCGTGCTAGGCCTGGCCCTGGGAGCCAGCGGCGAGGCGAACCTGGGCGCCTCGCTCCTGGACCTTACCCTGCAGGACCAGACGGCGCCGGGGTCCGGATTGCTGCCCCCTCCCGTGGTGGACCGCGGCGCATGGCGCGTGTCGCCGCGTGTGACCCTGGCGCGGCTCGACCTGGACTTCTCCCGCGACGCTGGCGCTGCGCCACGCACGGCCACGACGGTGCGCCTGCACGACGCAGCGTCGGCGGCCTACCGCGACGAACCCGGGAACTTCATCGCCCGCCTGCACCGCGGCCGTCCCAACGCCGGTGTGATCACGGTGGTGGAAAGCGCGGCGCACCTGCACGTCGGCGTGGCGCTGAACAACGTGCTACTGGGCCACGCCGCCCTCATGCGCATCCTCCTCCTCACCCTGCCCGACACGGGTGTGGGGCCCGAGGAGGTGGTGGGGAGTGTGGCCGAGGACGCGCTGCGAGGAGGGGCGGGAGGGGGCGTCGACGTTGGGGGGACAGAGGTCGCCCCTGCGCCCCGCCACAGCACGGCCGCACCCGCTCAGACGCTGCCTGTGCAGAGCGAGAGCTTCACGCTGGACCTGGAGGAGTGCGTGGCGGAGTGGCGATACCAGCCTGGGGGTACCGCGGCCGCGCGCCTGGCCCCCGCCGCGTTGGACTTCCTCCTCACGCACGGCGTGCTGGGGGTGCTGGAGGCGCCGCGCTGCGTCCTGCGCTTCCCGCTGGACGAGCCGGGCGAGCGCGTTGCGCTGCGCGGCGCCGCGCTGTCCTGCGCCGCGCTGGGCGTGGGCGGCCGCGCCCTGCTCCCCCTCCTGCGCCTGCCCGAGGTCGCCCTGACCGTGGAGCGCGCGGGCGGGGGGGCCCCGCCGCGTTTGACCCTGGGCGCGCGCGATGTGCTCGCCGGCCTGCACCCCAGCCAGATCACCATGGCGGCGGCGGCCGCAGAGCTGTTTGCTGCCGAGCTGGCGGCACTGCGGCGCCCCAACCTCTTGGACCTCCCCGCCTCCAGCTCAGGTGCCACAGGAGGGGGTGGGGAGGTGTCGGGAGGGCCGGGTGAGGAACCCATGCTATGGAGAGCAGGATGCCTCCTGCTCTGGGTGGTGGATGAGAACAGGTCAAGGCAGGATGCAAGTGTAGCGACATGCTTGTGCTGCTGCAGCCTTGCATGGCAGCGGGTTGATACCACGACCCAGATGAAGAGACCCCAGCTTCAAGTCTTGGTCCTGAAGCCCTGTGCCACATGCGCAGTGCCTCTGCCTGCCAGCACCACCGACGCAATCCTCTCCCGTCAAACTGCAGATGGCGCACGCTTGGGGGCCGAGAGCTCGAGCCCCCGGTCCATGTCGGACCTGCTGGGGGTGGCACAGGCCCGCACCCCGCTCACGCTCGCCGCAAGGATGGAGCCAGGCAGCCCCGCTGCGCCGGTCGCCACTCCGAGCCTGGGACGGGTTCCCCTGGTGGCAGATGGCACGACACCCATCGCCACCCACCAGCCGCCCCAGCCGCCGCGCTGGCTGCTGTCTCTGGAGGCCTGCTCCGCGCGCCTGACCATCGCAGAGGTGCGGCTGCAGCTGCTGGGCCCCAATGTGAGCTGCGCGGGGCTGGAGGGGCGCTGGCGCCGCATCGAGGTGGTGCTGGACGGCGCGCCTGGCCCCGGCGCCCGCCGCCGGCTGGAGCTCGGCTTCGAGACCCTGGACGTGAGCCTGCTGCGCCCGCTGCCGGACCAGGCCACGCCCTTTGCGGCGGCCGCGGCGCTGCGAGTCAGCTCCGACGGGCGGCGCAGCAATGGTGGGGGCGTCGCGTCGCCGGAGGGCGAGGAGGAGGCGGGCGGGGCATGGCAGTCGGGGCCGGGCAGCGGATGGGACCGCGGCATTGAGAGTCATGCCGGCTGGGCGTCTCCGCCCGAGGTGACAGGTCCGTGCAGGGCGTCAGGTGCGCCGGCGAGGCGTCCAGCGCACGGGGAAAGATGCGCCTTGGCTGTGATGCTTTTGGCACCTGATCGATTGCGCTGCGTGCTCTGTTCCATGAGGTCTCTGACGCATACAGATGGTTTACTGGTGCGCCCGCCAATGGTATCTGCCCCAACCCCACCCTTCTCCCTCCTCAAACCCTCCTCTCCAATCGATGCAGAGTCCACCAACCAGTTCCCGGCGGACGCCAGCGACGAGGGCGAGGTATTCTACGAGGCGCTGTCGCGGTCGCAGCGACGCTCCAGCGCCGGGACCAGCGCCGCCGCCAGTCGCTACTTCAGCGCGGGCGGCAGTGTGGACAGCGAGGGGGCGAGCACGCTGCAGCTCGACCCCGGCCCCGCCTGGGTGGAGGAGGGCGGGGCGGAGAGTCCCCTGGGCCCCAGCCCACGCATCGCCAGCCCCCCGCCCCTCGCCGTGACGGCGCCGCAGCTCCTCTGGCGCCGGGGCGGCGGCGGCGGCGGGGGCGTCCCAAACGGCGAGACGCGGTGCACGGCCGCGCTGCATGCCCGCCTGGCGAGGGATATTCTGATCGGCGGCGAGATGACCCTGGTCGTTCCTGTCCTCGCCGTCCACGCCACGGCCGACGTCGGGGCCTGGGAGGAGGCCGCCGCCTGCGTGTTGAACCACGTGGGGCTGATGGGCGGCGCACTGCCCGACCTCCGTGCGTCGGTGACTGCAGAGGAGAACAGCGCCGGGGGCGACGCGGGCGACCCGGTCGGCACGAGCGAACCAGGCGACACAGGGCCCTCCACGGCCTACCCCCTGCGCTGGCACGTGCGCTGCGCCTGCCTGCGCGCGACGCTGGTGTGCAACGCCGAGGAGTCCGGCCCGGGGTCGGCCCCGCCCTCGCCGTTTCACAGTGTGCGAATGGCAGACAGACACTCTGGCGAAGTCCAGAGCTGGCGGGGGCCCATCCTCGCCCTTACCCTTCAGGCCAGCCTTGAGGCGGAGGCGAGGGTGGGAGCGGACGTGGGACTCGCTGCGGTTACGAAAACGGAGGCTGGGGCAATCGCTGATGCAGCGCCCGAAGCGGCGTGGTGGCTGCAGCTGCGTGTTCCTGGGCTGCTGCTGAGTGCGGGCCTGGGCTCTGCAGTTTCTGATGCAGAGGAGCGGGAGCATGGCGCCGCGCCGAGCCTCTCACTCGGCGCGGGGCTGGCGGGGATCGCCGGCTTCGAGCTGCGCTGTGTCGGGCCTGTTGCTCCCCGCCCAGACGGCCCGGATCGCCAGGCGCTGCCAGTGCTGGATGCTGAACCCATCGCCAAGGAGGAGGAAGGCCAGGCACCGGGCGCTGCTCTACTCACGAGCATCGTATCATCAGCACAGAGCGCGGAGCCTCCGGGGCCGACTCCGCAGTCCCCCGAGGAGCCGCCGGGGTCATCGGCGCACGCCGTGCAGGTGGATCTCGCGCTGGCGCGTGGCTCGGTGTGGCTGAGCCAGGAGACGGCGGGCGTGGCCCTGGCGCTGACGCAGGCGCTGACGCTGCTCGCGCACCGCCTGCAGGCGCAGGCCGCCGAGGCGGCGCCGCACGGCGGCGCCGCGCGGCGTGCCGCGCGGGACAAGGGTGATGCCAAGGCCCTCACCGCCTGGGAGCTACGTGCCCGAGCGGGCATCCTGGCTGTTCTCGTCGGGGTCGGGGGCGTGGACGGCGTGGGGCGCGGGCGCTGCCCCTTACTCCAGGCGGCGGCTCACGACCTGAAAGCGTGCGCCGGCTCCGGGACTGCCACGGCGCAGCTGGGCTGCCGGCTGGAGGTCCGGAGCTGGGCGCCGCAGCTGGCCGGCTGGGAGCCGGTGGTCGAGCCGTGGCGGGTGCGCCTGGCGCTGCGTGGCGCGCTGGAAAGCGCGGGGCCGGGGCCGACCCCGCCGCTGTCGCTGTCCCTCGAATCCGACGACCTGCTGGAGCTGACGGCGAGCGAGGGCGGGGTGGCGGCCGCGGCGCGCGCCCTTCAGTCCTACGCCTTCCTCTCCACCCTGACCCTGGCGGGTGCGGGGGAGGCGGTGCGCGCCGCGCAGGCAGCTGCGGGGGAGCCGGCGCTGGCGGGGGGCTGGACGCTGGTCAACGCCACGGGGGCCTCGGTGGAGCTGTGGATGGGGGGGCTCGTCGGCGGAGGTGCCGCCGAGGCCGGCCCTGTGGGTTGGTCGGGCACGTCGGGCCGGCGAGACATGATTGGTGAGTTGCAGGGGGGATGCGGCTTGTAATTTGGTGGGGTGGTTGTATGTGTGCATGGTGCAGTGAATTGAGTACTTTGATCACGCTGGGCATGCCTCCTTGCATCGTGGGTGCTGTGTCACCGTGCATTGCGCGTCATGGATCTACGTCATCGGTTGCTGAGTCGGGTCTGATGTGTCAGACCGCCAAGAGTCTGGGGTCTCATGCTGGATGATCTCCCTGTCAGGTTCTCAAAGCCTGTGCTGCACGTGTGAGCTTGCAGCCATGCAGCAGTCAACTCATACCAATCCCGCCCTCTTCTCGCACACTTTTCTCTTTACCCCACCCCCCTTCCCACCCCTCTGCTCCCAGCTCCCGAGCGGCCCCACCTCACGGTGATCCCGGGTGAGCGCGTGGACCTCCCTGTCTGGCCCGGCTCCGATGACACCCTGGCTGACCTGGCGGCCGGGTACGCTGGGTACCCTGACCCCATGCTGGGCGTGCGGCCGGCAGGATGGCGAGGCGACATGACCGGATGCTCACCCGACCCCTCTGACCCACCCTGCCCGCCACGCCACACCCGGGTGTACTTCCGCGGCCCGGGCGGCACGGCGGGTTGCGTGCCCCTGGCCGCCCCCGGCACCCACGCGTATGGCGGGCCCTGGCCTGGCGCAGGTGGCCAGGTTCCGGGGTCGCGGGGGGATGGCGCCCCCCAACCCCGCGTGCTGGCCAGCGTGGCGCGCGGCCCCGACCCCTGGGCCGGCACCTCTGTGGTGCTGCACTCTGGCCTGCGCCTGGTCAACCGCGGCGGCGTGGCGCTGGAGGTGCGGCTGCACACGCCCCTCGGCTTCGTGGCTGAGGCCAGCCCCCGGGCCAGCCTGGGCGCGCTGCAGCCGGGCCAGGGCCTGTGGCTGCCCGTGCAGCACGCGCTGCTGAGCGCGCTGAGCTTCAGGCCCCTGGCTGTCGGTGGTTGTCACGGTGCCGGCCACGACGGGCATCATCAAGGCGGTACGCATGGCGGTACCGTCAGCCGCACCGGATCGGGCGTGCTCTTCTCGCAGGCGGGGCCCGGTGCAGCCCTGGCCAGGCACCCCCCCTTGCACCCCCCCGTGGTGGCTGCCGGTTCGACGATCGGCGGCCCACCCCCCGCGCCGGCGCTCCTGGCGCGAAGGTCGCTCGACCGCGCCAGGAGCTTTGGTGCCAGTGGCCCGTTGGAGTGGAGTGAGTCGGTCCCCGTCTCGCAGCTGGTGGGAGGGGCCAGGGCGGGCGCAGCCGCCGCCGGCACCTTCCAGTTGACGTGCCGCCAGGCGCCGGGCTCCCCCGGCCTGGACGCCCCGCTGGCCCTCTGCGTCGGCTCCCAGCGCCTGGCCCGGGAGTTTGAGGAAACTCCCCCGCGCGATGAGCGCACGTGGCCGCTGCCCGCCCCCTCTGACCCCAGCGGCGCGCTGGCCATCGTGGTGGGCGCCCCCCTCATGCTCCTCAACAGCCTGCCCGTGCCGGTGGAGGTGGGCGTGGGCGGCCAGCAGTGGACCCTGGGCCCCCTCCAGCGCCGCGCCCTGCACGGGCTGGAGGAGGCGCGGGCGCAACGGCTGCGCCTGCGGCCCGCCGGCTACGCGCCCGTGGAGGCGGCCCTGCTCTCGCCCGCCATGCTGGGCGCGCTGGGCGCCGAGGCCGCTGAGCGCCAGGAGGAGATCGAGGTGGTGGTGAGCTGGAGGGGTAGTGGGAGGAGGGTACACCGGGGAGAGTCGGTGTCTGGGCGTCTGGCTGATGACCGCCCCCCTTGGAAGTTCAGCAAGCACTGCATCCTGCCCTGCGCTCTTATAAACAAGGTATGTCCCTACAAACCCATCACCACCGCGCCCCAGGAGCTGCCTCCCCACCCTTCTTCCTCCGGCCCCACCGGCCCGGGGGCCCAGCAGGCGGTGCGGTGGGTGAGGGACACCCCCCTCCAGCTGGTGGAGGTGGGGCAGAGCGGGCACAGCGTGGGCGTGGTCCTACGCCACGGCCTCGACCCGGGGAGCGGGGCGCGCGTGCTGCGCCTGACCTGCACGCTCTGGATCTTCAACTGCACGGGGCAGCCGCTGGCGCTGCGGCAGGCGCACGAAGACGCCGGCCACTTCACCGAGGCCGAGCGGGCGGCCGCCGCGGAGGACAGGGTGAGGAACCAGGGTGGTGGCCGTGGCTGTGGGGTTGACACAGGAGTTAGGGGCAGGCATGCGGAGAGATGGGGGAGGAGCATGCCTTGGCAGGAGAGGAGGGGGGGAAGTTCAGGGAGGCGGCCCAGCGCAAGCCAGGGAAAGCCATGCAGCATGAGCTCTACGTGTGCGCAATGGCGCAGATGCTTGTGACGTCATGAGGTTAATTCAGGGTCTCTCACGCTTCACTCTCCTGAGTGAACCCAGCAATGACTGTCGCACCTCCGATGTGCAGATGCCGCAGGCCTGGCTCGCGCCCCTGGCCCTTCCGCCGGAGCTCCTCCGGCCGCGGGGCCCGCCGAGCGTGACCGCCTCGGCTGCGGGGCCGCCCACGCGCTCCCCCATGCTCCTCTCGCCCGCCAGGGGGGAAGCCGCGTCGAGCATGCGCCTGAACTCGGCGACCTCCTCCCTCGCGCCCCTCAGCCGCGCCGCCTCCTCGGTGGACGTCGGGGTCGCGGGAGGTGCGCGGGTGGTCGTGGTCTGAGCGGTGGGCTTGACGCTAGTGATGTGCGCTCTGCCTGGCTGCGGAGAGGGCAGAGGAGCCGTGCCGGGTCCTGCTCCAGGCCTGCGTCCCTGCGCGCTTCCCGACGCACACATCCCTCGATCCCCAAGTCCCTTCCTTCCTTCCTCCATGCAGCGGGGCTGGGCGCCGCGCTGCCGCGCGAGGCCGGCGAGCCGGAGCCCGGTCCGCGCCTGCTGGGCCACAAGCGCCCGCCCCCGCCCCGCGGCTGGGGCATCGTGGAGGGGGTCGACGGCCGTTCGTCCCAGGATCGCACCGTCTGGTGGGTGTGTTTGGGAGAAGGGGCCGTCCTAGCGGGCCAGCTTGGCATCTGGGGCTTCTTGCTTGATTCGTGATCCTCTCGTGTACCCGGACCATCAAACACCTCTGCCCCATCCGGCACGCATCCAGACCCTTTTCCATCCCATTCATCACACATCTCCTACCCCCCCCAAAAAACACAAAATACCGCCAGCTGGCCGGCGCTGCAGGGCGGGTTGCTGCAGGGAGGGAAGCAGCGCCTGCGCCTGCAGCTGCGCGCCAGCCCGCTGACGGCCCCGCCGGGGACTACCTTCTGGTCAGCCTCCCTGACCCTGGACTCCCAGGGCGGCGCGGCGGTGGTCACCGTGCCCAGCCCCGCCGCCCCCGCCTCCACGGCGGCGGCCGCCGGCGGCGCCGCGCGCCGCCCCGACCGCGCGGCCATGGTGGCGGCGGTCACGGCGGGGCCCGTGGCCGGGTCCGGCGGGGTGCTGGCATTGCACCTGGCGCCGCGCTACCTGCTGCTCAACTCCCTGGACGCGGCGCTGCAGTACCGGCAGCAGGGTACCGGCGCGGAGGCGGAGCTGGGGCCGGGGGTGAGCTGCCCGCTGCGTTGGGCGGATGCGGGGCTGCCGCTGCGGCTGTGTGTCCGCCTGCAGGAGGCTGGCTGGCTCTGGTCCGGCGGGTTTGGCCTGGACTCGCCGGGGGACACCTTCATCAAGGTCCGGCACCGCGACCGCGGCGAGACCATGCTGCTGCGCGTAGGCGTGGCCGCCGCGGCGGCGGGGACGCTGGCGGTGACGCTGAGCCATCAGCCCGCGGGCTTCGCGCCCTACCGCCTGGAGAACTGCAGCCTGCTCACCCTGCACGCCCGCCAGCGCCGGGTGAGAGAGCAGCAGGACGTGCTGCGGCCCTACTGCAGCCTGGGGTACGCCTGGGACGAACCCGCCCGGCCCCATCAGCTCGTGCTGGAGCTGGCGGGGGGGTGCGCCTCGGCACCTGGGGCCTCGACCAGGGTGGGGG